AAGGTTATTTGAGTACCACTCGATATCATCATAGGATGAATAACGGAAGCAAAAAGTGGCACGTATCGCTACCGAAAGAGAAATATGTGTAAAACGAAAGAATAAATACTTTCGAAAATATCTATTCTTTTGTTCTGCACATTTTTTTTCTTTTTTTTTCGTATGAATATGTGGAACCTCTTACTTTTGTTATTCATTTCTCCGATTATAACGAGTGATGCTTATTGAATCTTTCCATGACATTACAAGTGATTTCAAATAAAATATAGAAACGTATTTCTTTGCTGTTTCGTACTATTCATTTCGTATTTATTCATGTTTCAGACATGTCAAACATCGAATATCGAACGATCATAAAATTTTTTACTCTAAAAGGGCTGAATGCCACCGAAATCACCGAAGAACTGAAAGAGGTTTATGACGAATCGGCTCCAGCGTACAGCACCGTTGCAAAATGGGTGGCTGAATTTAAAGATGATCCAACACGCGACTTTAAAGACGCACCACGAAGTGGTCGTCCATCGACGACAACTACTGATGAAAATATTAAAGCCGTGGAACATATTGTGATGCGTGATCGACAAATTTCCGTTCGTCGCGTAGCTGCCGAGTTGAACATCCCAAAAACTATTGTTCATGAAATAATGAGCAATTACTTAGGTATGCGCAAGGTCTGCGTTCGTTGGGTACCGAAATTCTTGACTCCACTTCAACGCGCTAACCGAGTAGAATGTTGTCAGGAGCTCCTGCAGGCATGTGAACTGAATTCGGCCCAATTTCTCAGTCGTATCGTAACCGGGGATGAAACATGGGTGCATCACTATGATCCGCTCAGCCACCAGGAAGCCCGGGTCTGGAAGAAATCAGGAGAAGAAATACCAACTCAATCCGTTCGGAAACGATCCGCAGGCAAGGTCATGCTCGTCATTTTCTGGGACGAAGACGGCGTGCTACTCACCGACTACCTGACTGGTGGAAAGACGATGAATGGTTTCTATTATGCTTCACTTATCGAGCAGCTACATGCCACTATTCTAGCGAAGCGTCACCGAAAAATCAATCATGAAGTGCTAGTTCTTCATGACAATGCGTCTGTGCACAAGAGCAACGTCGTCCAAGCTGCTATTCGTAAGGCGAATTTTGGTGAA